TGAAGGAGGCACAGATTTTAACGAGTGATTGGGCTGAAGCCCAGAAATTCAAATTGAGATAATTTGGGTCCTGCCTTAGACTTACTGAATCAAAACTTGGGGTGTATGTGTAGGTTGGGGGAAAAGAGGTGTCAGCAAATCCTTAAGGTGACAAGTTAACTTTTTTTTGGTAGTGGTACCCTTGGATGCCCTACCACCAAACTATGTCACCAGTCCTTTTTATTTTTTACTGAGACGGGGGTCTTGCTAAATTACTAAGGCTGTCTGGCCTCGAACTGGCCATCCTCCTACCTCAGCTGCCTAAGTTGCTGGGATTACAAGCATGTGCCACTGCACCTGGCCAGCAATAGTAAACTCTTGACCAAAAAGAAATATGCATTTCCTCTTGGTACTGGTTCTCTGGGTCCTGATTTTCCTTCACTTATTTCAAAAGAATGACTTTTCCCCACTGTATTCCATCAGAAAATGCTAATTAGCAGCAAAATCATTGCTTAATAGTTCTTTTTTTTTTTTTAACTTTGCATTCCCAAGTTACACTGTCATTTTCTTTTCCTGTCTATGTCCTTGAAAAATCTAGGGCAATAGGCCTGCTCAGTGTGGCTGCTTTTCTTATCCACAAGACCAGTTCCACTTTATCAGAACTTTCCAGCTCCAAAATTAGGCTGTCCTGCTACTCACTTCTTTCCCACCGGAGTATTTCACTTTATATATGTATATATCCACAACTCACAGGTGGGATAGGTTATGTACCTGAGAACACTGAGAGATTAAGGCCACAGCTATGGCAGTAAAGCTGAAAGTTCATATACCTAGTACGTCACTGACAACCAACAGGCATCCAGTGTATTTAACAAAGCTGTGAAGATGCTTGAAAACAGTGCCTATTAAGGAATGAGGACGCCACCCCAAGATTGCAGAGGTAGCCTGTTGTGGAAGCTTGGTATAGAACTCTGGCCAACATACTCTTCAGCACCCTGAAGAACTGAGCATGTACACAAAGGCCTTTGAAGTAGAGCACACAATACAAGTTCAATGAATAACGCTGGCCAATAAATTATTTCATGATTTTCTGAAGATCATTAGAGCTTATACCCTTAAAAAACACCAGAGAGAAAAGAAACTGAGGCCAGAAAGACACCTGAGGTTTCAAGCACATTTATGTTGTCCAAATTTAAGTGTTTGTGTGTCCCACTGTACTCTAGTGAGAATACAAGCATGTGAGGAAGACAGGAACACACTGGGAGAACATCTTTCTTTTTTTAAAATTTTCTTTAGTTGTAGATGGACACAATATATTTAATTTTATGTGGTGCCGAGGATGGAACCCAGTGCCTCACATGTGCGAGGCAGGTGCTCTACCACTGAGCTACAGCCCCAGCCCCTGGGAGAACATCTTTGATGACAAGTCACAAAATGGAGTTATGCAGCTGCACACCAAAAAATACCAGGAATTGCCAGCAATCCACCAGCAGTTACGGAAAGACAAGGATTCCCTACAAATTCCAAAGGCAACAAGGCCCTGCTGACACCTTGAGACTTCTGGTCTCCCCACCTCTAAGACAATAATATATTTCCATTGTTTTAAAGCACCCAGTTTGTGGTACTCTGCCTAGGAAGCTGAAGTATTATCTTGACATCATCAGATCCAGTGTATTACACACCACTAAGCCAACAAACTTATCTTCTGCTTAAAAGGTTCTCCAAAATACAGCTCCATGAGTGACAAAACAACCAACCAGAGAAATTTGAACTGAAGACTTCATTTTCCAAATCTAAGTAACACAAAGTAAAATAACTTTCATTGAAAAATTCTTTCAACTTAGCCAGTGGAGAACTGACTTTGAGTCATTTGCTTCTGGTTCTCTTGTACAGTTTTCAGGTGGAACATTACCTAGTTGCTGGGACCTTAGGAAAGTATGTTGATCTCCTTGGACTCGCTTTCATAATTGGAAGAGTCAGGACCCACATGTACTAATATTCTCTTGAGTTTCTTTTGAGATTTCCCAAAAGGAAAAAAACTGATAAAGGGCAAAGTCCAGAAAGGAAACAAGACAAAAACCACCTCCAAATATGACAGAAATGAAAAACAAAGGATAAATAACCCAATTTTATGCCTTAATAAGGAAGTTAAGGCACCACACAGGAAATAGTGACATAAAAACTTGATGTGGTGTCAAATTCAATATCTAGGATTGTCCCTTCTCTCTCTCTCTCTCTTTCTCACACACACACACACAGTGTACAAAATTATTATTTTTTGATCAGACAAACTACTACCAGTTGAGGGCCCTTCAGAGGATTAACTATGAATGTACACAACCAGGCACCAGAATGAATTCAATCAATGTTGGTTCCCTAGACCTAAAATAAAAGGGCTGGGCCATTTACATACATGTTCAAGGTGCTATAATCTCGAGGTAGGGCAGTCTCCAGGTTTTCCCCCTGGGTACTTATTATCTAGCATTAACGCTCTAAAGTCATGGTGATTTTAAAGTGGTTAAATAGTAAATGTAAGTTTCTTCCAAACTGGATTTCATCTATCTTCACACCTTCAGGACTACCTTCTTAAGCACCTACTGAATAGAACTAAAATGGTTATTGCAGTAAATAGCTTATGCTTAATTATAATATGCTCAATAGTAATGCACATAATACCTACAAATTCTCCTTTAGCAAATAATATTAATTCCAGAGAAGACAGAGTTGATCAAATGCACATTACTCATGGGAAGATGACACACATGGCAGCACACACAAAATAACTGCCTTCTGAGTTGAAAATGAAAACCTTGCTACATCACAGAATGAAGTATTAGTTTAGAAATATACCAGAAGAGATGAACATAGCAGCACAGTCTATAATCCCAGTGACCTGGGAAGCTGAGGTTGGAGGATGTCAACTTTGAGGTCAGAATCAGCAACTCAGGAAGATATGTCTCGAAATAGAAAAAAAAAAAAAAAAAAGGGCTGGGGATGTAACTCAGTAGTAAAGTGCCCCTGGGTTCAGCCCCCAGTGTCCCCCCAATTTGTTATTATCTCAAATGATACATACAATCAGAACAAGATAATTTGGGGGAAAAAATATGCCTATAAGAGACCCTTCTAGTAGTTTGGAAAAATTGGCTCAACTCCTTAAAAAACAGTCCATTTTAAGATAAGCAACTAAAATTCTCATCTTCTCGAAATTTTATACTTCAATTAGAATTCTTTTCATTTTTTGTTCTGGGGATTGAACCCAGGGGTGTGTCACCACCGAGCTACATCTATAGTCTGTATTATTTTTGAGATAGGGTCTTGCTAGGTTGTTGAGGCTTGTCTTGAACTTGCAATTCTCCTGCCTCAGCTTCCTGAGTCTCTGGGATCATGGGTGGACACTATCCTGCCTAGAGAATTCTTACACATTTTTAATGGCCTTTCTAATATTTCTCACTACAAAAAAAAAAAAAATCTTTACTGATTAATATTTAAATTCTAAACACGAGTATATTCTACCATGCTGTCAAAAGGAAACTTACAGCTCTTTATCAACCTACGGTCAACAAATCATAGCTCAATATGTAGTTTGTAAAAGCTGAAATTTTAAGTTTTAACCACAAAATAGGTGCAAACTTTAAGTTTTCTATTTCAGAAAGTAATTTCAAAAGAGAAAGTTCAAATGTGGCTTTAAATCCTCCCTCCCTCTTGATCTTTTTTTTTTAGTTTTTTTTTTGCTCCAGGGGATTGAACCCAGGGGTGCTTAACCATTAAGCCACATCCCCATCCCATTTTGATACAGGGTCTCACCAAGTTGCCCAGGGCCTCACTAAATTGCTTAGGCTGGTCTTGAACTTTCAATCCTCCTGCCCCAACCTCCTGAGCCCTGGGATTACAGGTATGCACTTCTGCACTTGGCTAAAGGATTCTTAAATGCATATTAATAAATGAAAACAGTCACTCCAAAAATGATAAATATCTTGTTATTCCACTATTTGGTTACTACGGGGGACCTCACTCCAAATTGTTTACTTATCTCTTTCCCCTGAGGAAAGGTGTCCTCTCTCCTACAGAGTTCTTGGTGGTAGTATATAGGTATACTCTTTATCTAGTGCAAAGGAGGCCCACAAGGCAGAGGGACGAAGGAGAAACCAGAGACAGGCCAGTTTTAAAACAGTCCTACAGCAAGAAGGAGCTGCTTGGCAAGTTACCACTTCACTTGCCACCTTGTGTTTAGGACAGTCTCCCAACTCCTAAGTGTTCTTCCCATCTTCTTATTTAAAAGTAGTAACATCATACTGACTTAAATTGGGGGGAAGCCAAGTCCTATTAACCTTTTTTTGAGATGCTGGGAATCACAGCCAGGGCCTTTTGGATGCTGAGCAAATGCCCTACCACCAAGCTATTCTTCCAACCCAACCACACTTAAATGGGTACTACCCAAATGCTGTTGAATTCTGCCTTTCATTTCCCCTCACAAAAAAAAAAAAAAAAAAAAAAGGTATAAATAGTCTTACTTCATAATAAAATTTTAGGAAACAAAGGACAAATTCTACAGTGTTAACTTTTCAGATTATTTTCTGACTTAAAAATATCAGTTCTCAAACCAATAGACAGGTTAGTAATCAAAGTTTACAAAAATATTTCTGAAAAACTAAACAAGGTACTCTTTGCCTCTTAAAATATCTGAAGCACAATTCTAACACCATCCAAGGCACTCACAATCAAATAATTAGCTTTTCTAGTTTTAAAATGTCCACTTTATTCCACAACACTTAGCCAGGTATCATTTACATCTGAGAAAGAGAAGGACCATGAGACTGATTTTGGTAAAACACTAAGAAATTGTAGTCCAATTTTACACATTTCCAGGAAGCCCCAGACAAGTGTACCACAATGCAGAAATATGGGTATCACTACTACATTTTACATAAGATAAAAGGGAAGTATCAATCAACTTCAGAAAGTAGTAAATTCACCTGTCCCTTAAAATACGGGTAATGCAAATGTTACAAAGTCATAGTAAATGGTTTTATAAAATGTAATTTTATTTTATGTTACTCTGCTGTTACATAGGGCATAACATTTTCACAAGGCTTTTTTGGGACTACAGTCAATGATTAGCAACACACAATAGTGGTCCAACTCTCTAAAGAACAATCACGAGACAAACTGGACACCCTCTCACATGTGCACAAATCTGCATGGAAAAGTACTAAAGTTTTAGACTTGGACTTGTGTACTTTTATTTCCCCTTTCTAGTGTATTAAGAAATGACATGCACTTTTAATTTGCCAAAAGCGATGCTTGTATTCTGGCAGCAACATGCTACTTCTATTACATAGTAAAGTGAATACCAGAACTACAAAGGCAGGAGGTGTAAGTGAATTTTTATTGGGAAGGGAAGTTGTCAACTTAAACAGCAGCAAATGATGAGTGAATAAGGAAACTCCCTGTGATCACAGATGGACATGACCTCCACAACATGGGATATAGGAGGCATTTCAACTTGTGACCGCCACCCCCCCCACCCCAGCCAGGAAATGTCAAGTGCTCTCCCATTCCATCTAATACTTCTGGATTCCCACTAAAAAGGAATACAGTAAGAGTATAGAAAGGTTGCTTACTGAAAGGAAACCCTCAAAGAAAAATAAAGAAGGGAATGTAGAAAGTAAGAAGTCATGTAGAACACTCTTTAAATTGCAATTAACTACATTTTCTTATCTTCACAGTAATACAAAACACAGTCACTTGTAGAACTGGTTCAGATTACTTAAATACCCGATACATTTTTAGTCCTCTACTAAAAGTGTTTGGAATTACTTATGTTTATATGAAATGAAGCTATTAATACTTTTCTACAGCAGTAACTGCACACCAGGAAGGCCAAGACAAACACAAATCAAGGAATGGAGTTTTCCCAAAGCTGCAGTGTGAAAAGACTATAAACAGTTGATTCCATACACATGAATGGGTTTCTTTGCTATAGGAAATCCAAGTGGAATAAGGAATGGAGATGTGTAAAAAGGTTTCTTGAGGGAAGAAGGATGACACCCTGTTTGCATTTAGTTTTCAGCCCCTTCTGCTGCATCACATTCTTCTCCTGCACTGTCTGATGTCCATAACTAGAATTAAAAAAAAAAAAAAAAAAGTTGTATTAGGTTACTATTTCCAGATCAGACAATCTGTCAAGTCCTACTGCTACATCAAAGTGTGATTCTTCTTTTTTTGGGGGGTGGGGGACTGGAGACTGAACACAGGGTGCTTAACCACCATGTCACATCCCCAGCCCTTTTGATTTTTTTCAGGCAGGATCTTGTTAAGTTGCTTAGAGCCTTACTAGCAAATGTCTATCATATGCAAAGTCCTGAGTTCTATACCAAATTATGTGAAACAAACCAACCAAAAAGACCAACGGGGGAAAAAAAGATCACAAGTACTATTTTCTAAGGATCTTTCTAGTTTTAGGATAAAAACATGAAGTGAAAACTTGTTAGTTAATACTGATTACAATCATTTCAAAAAAATGGGTAATTTTTTAGTACAGGGATTGAAACTTGGAGTGTTCCACCACTGAGCTACATCCCCAGATCTTTTTGTTTTCGAGACAGGCAGTCTAAGTAAGTTGCCGGGGCTGGCCTTGAACATGCAATCCCCCTGCCTCAGCCTCCAAGGATTACAGGTGTGTGCCACCATGCCTTTTAATAGAACATGGTGTTTCACTGGATCTTAAGAAAGCTTCTACAACTATATAGTCCCTAATAAGCTACTGCAAATTTACCCAAATAAAGGGAATACATGTGCTGGGGTTATAGCTCACATGCACAAGGCCCATGGTTTGATCCTCAGCACCACAAATAAATAAATAATTAATTAAACGGGACACTACAACTATATAACCCTATGCTAATATAATCAACACCTTCAACCCACAGAATAGCATTATGTTAATACCAAATTCCTTGTTCTTAGTACCTTCTCAGGAAGGTCTGATAAAATGCCTATTCACTAGGGAAACCTGCCTACGAATTCTACTTATGTATTAAATGTCCATTTTCTGAGAGAATAAACTACTTTTGTTCCTGAAAGGAAATAAAAGAGTGAACAACTCACTGTTAAGTTGTCTCTAAGCAACTGCATGATGAGGGTGCTGTCCTTATATGAGTCTTCATTCAGTGTATCAAGTTCTGCAATGGCCTCATCAAAAGCCTGATAAATATTAATATCCATGGTAAGCAATTGATAGAAACTGGTTAGTTTACCATTTTTATAATATATGTGAACATCAATGTTATATTCTACTATCAGTTAACAACAAACTCAATGGCACCGTTTCCTGAGATTCACAGATTAAGAACTTGTGCATACAATCTGAAACTTAAAAAGCTACGTTCTGAAACACTAAGCATTTCTTGGTTCTTTAAAAGGACACACAATACGGTAACAATGATTAATATAACCTACAAGAACTACTATTTATTTGGAATAGCCTCTCGCCCTGGCAGGCATTACTTCCCAAACCTTGTTTCCTGTCTAAAGTAATTCACACTTCTTTGACTACTCTACCCATGCTCTTTAGCCAGATTACTGCTATAATCACTGTTAGAAGAGATTATGGTGTTCAGGGCTAGGGACATGTGGACAAGATGCTAATAAAAAGGAATATATCCACATAAATACTGAAGAAATCCTCCCTCTATCCATCCAAGTGAAACACCTAGAAATTAACTTTTTTTTTTTTTTTTTAGGGGGGGGAGGTGGTACCAGGGATTAAACTCAGGGGCACTCAACCACTGAGCCACATCCCCAGCCCTATTTTGTATTTCATTTAGAGACAGGGTCCCAATGAGTTGCTAAGTGCCTTGCCGTTGCTGAGGCTGGCTTTGAACTCACGATCCTCCCGTCTCACCCTGGTGAGCCACTGGGATTACGGGCTGGCATGCACCCAGCTGAAATTAACATACTTGATATCCAAAACAACCTTAGACAAAGAGGACATTTCCTGGAAAACATCTTACCGTTTTAGCCAGTGTGCAGGCAAGCTCTGGGTTATTAAGGATCTCATAGTAAAATACAGAAAAGTTAAGAGCCAGCCCCAGGCGGATTGGATGTGTGGGTTGCATCTCTTTCTTGCTTATATCAAATGCCTCTTGGTAAGCTCCTTGGGAATTATCTATCGTTTCTGAGAAGAAAAGAAAAAACACTATACCCAACATATCCAATATATAGCATATTAACTTTAACACATGCTACTAGCTTTTGGTAGAATGAGACTTTTCTCTGTAGCATTTTTTAAACCACTGCATACTAGTACTAGATATTTAAAAATTAATTGATAATGCAAGAAAGTGGGGCACAGCCATTATATGAAACTTTTTTGTTTTAAACTGTGCTGGTATTACTTAATCACTTAGTCACTCAACTGTCTTTATAATGCTGCTTGCTTACAGCTAATTTATAAAAATGCATGAGATAGTATATCACATTTTCCCATCTCTGAGGCTAAGATGTTTTCCCTTTTAGTACTGGGGATTGAACCCAGGGGCACTTAAACATTGAGCCACATCCCAGCCCCCTTGTTTATTTATTTATTTTTTATAGTTGTAGATAGATAGCATACCTTTATTTGCTTAGTTTTTTTATGTAGTGCTAGAAATTCGAACCCAGAGCCTCACACATGCTAGGCAAGCACTCTGCCACTGAGCTACAGCCCCAACCCCAGCCCCATCCCTTTTAAATATTTTATTTAGCAACAGGATCTGGCTGAAGTTGCTTAGAGCCTTGCTGATTTGCTGAGGCTGGGAATATAGGTGTGTACCACTTTACACAGCCCTCTCCTGAATTATAAGACCAAGCCTATCAATAAAAATAAACCAATGGTGAGAACAAAATTTCTTTTTTTTTTTTTGTAGTTGTAGATGGACAGAATGCTTTTATTTTATTTGTTTATTTTCATGCGGTGCTGAGAATCGAACCCAGTGCCTCTCGCATGCTAGGCAAGCGCTCTGCTACAGCCCCAGCCCCAACCCCACAATTTTTTGACTGGAATGCTACCTCCCTAAATAATGAGAACACTTTACAAATATCTTACCACCAAAATCTCCAAATTTTGTGCCTTTATAATCATCATTGTTTTGAAAAGGTGCCCACATGAGCCTTAAAGACTAACATAACACAAATTAAGCTATTGCTGAATGTGTGTATTTTCCTTCTTCTGAAACAGCCTATTATTGACCCAATTACGGCTGGAATAGCCCTCATGTAGTGAGAAGGGCATGCTGTCAGGCACATGAGAAAGCCCAGCGCCGGAGAATAGTAGTAATATAAGGACAGCCCACTTACAAATCCAGATGAACAGAATGCATGTGAGACTATGTGTGGGACTCAGGGGTGTCAGTGAGCTACAAGCAGCTAATTCAGATTAAAGCCAGGGATATGTCCCAATCTCCCAAGGACATTCCTTTGACTTGTTGTTATAAATATTTTCATTTCTGTGTCAATGTTTTCAGGTCCAGTTCTGCTTATCTGTGTGGCAACAGAAATTATACATCAGCACAAAGTGTTAGTTTAGCAGACAGATTTCACTACAGAAAAGTATAACTATTTTTTCTTTATATCTTCAATTACACTGATACATAGGATGGCAGAATTCTCGTTTTCAGTGACTAACTCAGAGATCAGAGTATAGGAGTACATCTTTTTTGGATGAGGCAATATTAAGAAAAAAACAAGCTTATTGTAAAAAACTAGGAATTCAGTGATACTTCTCTACCTTCAACTTGACAATTTTGTCAGCAGGCCCATATATAAAATTCAGTAGGGTTTATTATAATACTCGCTAATAATACTCCAGAAGACTGAGTTCACTGCAAATAGGTTTACTTTTCCACAATTAAAATAGGGAGTCTGATTATTACTTTTCCCCATTATTTTTTAAATGATAGTCTAAGACTTAAAAAAAATAAGTATTTAATGGCTTGGGAGGCCAAGGCAGGAGGATCTTGAGTTCAAAGTCAGCCTCAGCCAAAGTGAGGTGTTAAGCAACTGTCTCTAAATAAAATACAAAATAGGGCTGGGGATGTGGCTCAGTGGTCGAGTGCCTCTGTGTTCAATCCCCAGTACCCTCACCGAAGGTATTTAATATTCTATTTTTATGACAATTCTTCCAGTCAACACAGTTCCTATGTATTCAAATAAAACCTAGACATAAGGGTCATTTAAAATTACTGTGAAGTTGGAACAAACCATACACCAAAAATAGACTCATCTTACCTATCTTCAGAACTCTGATTAGCAATGTTGTGATCCTTTAAAATTGGTAGTATGTGGGAGACCAGCCTTGCACTTGACTGAGTCACAATCCCCGGCTGGGTGCTGAGGCGTTCAGTCACAGAAATGTGGCAGAACTTTCCCCACCCTTCTTGGGTTTGAGGGTCGAGGGTTGGTGTCTCGTGCATGGGTCTGTCTTGCTACAGCCCGCCCCATGGGTGGAACTATGCTCACCTGTTCCTTTGTAATATAACCCCTTGCCCTGTTTAGGATAGAATCTTCCATGGAAATGCCGTGTGTGTGTGTGTGTGTCCCCTTCTCTGTGTCCTTGGGTATGGCCTACCCAGATGTCAATCAACCTGCCGACAGTGGACACATGAAGAAGACTCAGCCCCCTGAAACCCCCTTGCCTCATTTGAATAGCTTCTCCTCAATAAAAGGGGTCAGCACGTGCTCTCGCTCTCTCTCTCTTCCTGCGGACCCTTAAGATCAGAGGAGCCATCACTGCGACCCCAAACAAAAAGGTATTTAGCCCGGTTCAACTGGAGTAACCCCTGAGCCTTTTATCGTGAACAGAAACCTGACAGTAGTAGTATACTAAACTAATGACAAAGGAACATAACATACTGTTTCTATGTTCTACATGTAATTTCCACTGAAATACAGAATCACCCAGAGCTAAAAATATTAAGAGATCGATCCTGTTGTTAATATCAGATTAGAATTAGAATTCACATGTGTTTAAATTTTTAAAGGACACATTAAATTAATGACTACATTTTTTTTCTTCTATTTGTTTGGTACTAGGGATTAAACACAGGGTGCTTTTACTTCTGAGCTACTTCCTCAGTTCTTTTTTATATTCTATTTTGAGAGAGGGTCTTACTAAATTGCTGAAGCTGACCTCTAATTTGTGATCCTTCTGCCCTAGCCTCCCAAATCATGCGCTCCAAATAAGGCAATATTCACTTTCTTGACATACAAGTTGCACAATTTTCTTTTAAGTTACAAAGGGCCTGGAGACATAGACTATCATCATAAGTGTCACCTTCTCCCCAACTCCCTTTTATACATTGACTTTACATGTATGTCAAATATACTTACGTTTCCGATCATCACCACAGGCAACTTCAGCAAGGTACCGGAAGTAATCTCCTTTCATTTTCAGATAGAAGACCTTACTCTCTGGATTAGTTGCATTGGCTATTAAATACTTATCCAACAATTCCTGAAAGAAATAAGATAAAACAGTAAACACTAGTAAAAACCATTTAATTATAGCAAGAACTTGTAATATAATGACATGCTTCTGCCTATCATGCATTTGAACTGCCTATTATTAATATAACATTATATCATTCTAGCCAGAACTTGAAGCATGTTCTTACAACTGCTTGTTGTAAGCTTTAAATCATGTGGCCTACAGTTTCTAACAGTAAAGCTAAATTACCCCAAACATTATTAGAAACAACCTGCCCTTTTACCCAGCCATTCATTCAGCATTTATTGATCCTTGCATACATGCCAGGTATTTGGCCAGAGTGAATACATACAAGACTGAAGATAAGGTCCCGGCTCCTTAGAAGCTCCCAATCTACACACCAAGTGTTAATAGATATAGAAATGACATGCTATGAAAGCACAGAGATTAAATAGCTGATTCTGTCAGAGACCCCAGGGGTTAGACAAACTTCCCAGGGGAGGGATACTTGAATATCAAGAAGAAAGAATGAACCAGGAAGAAAACAGGGATTTGTAATCATTTTATTTAGGGAGGGGAAACAAAACATTTAAGACATCAAGTTCCAGGGAGAAAAGTACAATCAGGGAACAAACAAGTAAATCATCACAGCCTCAAGCAGCATGTCCAGTACCCTCTACAGACAAGCACCCGTCAAGAATAAGGCAAGCCCAGGAACTGTGTATGAGCTTTAGAAACTTGAACAGCAATTTTATGTCAACTGAATTTGAATTTTTTAAAAAAGCAGCACCAGGGATGAAACCCAAGTGCTCTATCCCTAAGTTACACCCCAGCCCGATTTTACATATTTTAAAAATTGGGTATTTCTTTTATCCCTGATTTCATATCAAGATACCTGCACTTGATGGAACGAAAACCAGTGCTGCTCAAACAGAAGTATTTGTACTTCCAAAGATGCCAGGTATGACCAGGAGTATTTAAAAAAAAAAAAAAAAAAGTCACAAAAAACAAGTATGGTATTTTAAGACTACCAATTTTACTTGATGTTAAATAATTAAAATCTTTTTTGGCCAGGCACACTGGTACATACTTGTAATCCCCAGTGACAGGGGGACTGAAGCAGCAGGACCACAAGTTCAAAGCCAATCTAAGCAACATCGCAAGAAACTGTCTCAAAATAAAAATAAAAGGACCGGGAATGCAGCTCGGTAGTATGGCAACCTTGGATTCAATCCCCAGTACAAAAAAAAAAAGTACTAAAATATTGTGGAATATAGTGAAATTCTCTTAGAAATTTAAAGATTTTAACACCCACTGCATAGGTTTGTTTTGGTAATAAATTTTTTCAGATGCCATTAGCTCTGGATTTGGTAATGAGGGAAATGTTACATGTTAAGTGCTCATGTAACCATGTCACATGTTAAGTGCTCAATAAACACTGGCTGTCATTGCCAGTTCTCCTGCCTAGGTACACAGTTTGAGAAGAACTGCTTCAGGCAAAGTTAAACTAGTGAAAAATTCTAAGCAAAGAAAATTAAGATTGCACTTTGGAAAAGTAGTTACATACTATCAGTTAAGACATAAAAGTACCAACAATGATACAAAGTGGGGAGTTTGTAGAATAACCCAGTAAATCTGCTTCAACTTCAGATAAATTCACTACTGAAGAAAATGAAGACTTTTTACAGATCTAAAATACAAGTTTAGAAAATGTAGTTCTAATCCAAGAAACCTTGTTTACCTAATTTAAAAATGACCCAACAAGACCAACTACTGCATCCATAAGTTATTTTAATGAAAAGAAACAGAAAAACATATAAAACCTTTAAAGTAAAAAAAAATTATTTTTTCAAATGTTATATTTATCCCCGGGTCAAATCCCCAGCCCCCTGAAGGAATATTTTAAAAGGCCTGAGGCTTTTAAAATAAAATTAGTGAAAAATTATGTAATAAACTCCCAGAAGTTCATATGTTATGAAAGTGGCAAGTATGAAAACCATGGCTGAAGCTGGAAAGTCTTCGGGCCAGGAGTGTGGCAAAAGGCCCAAAGGGCCACACCCAAGGTACAAACAAGCGCTGCTCCACATCATCACACTCAGAAGGAGAAAAAGGAATCAAGGGATTCTTTTTAAGAATTTCTTCTGTTCAACATTACCAGTACATTTTTAATAGTTATTTAATAAACCCCAAACTCTTCCCCAGAATCTTAGAAAGTCACACTATTTTTTTCCCTCTATGTCTTTTAATTTTAAAATTGAAAGTTTAAAATTTTTATGAACTGAATTTAGCATTTTTTTTTTCTTAAAGGAGGAAGACAATAGTGACAGCCATTTTAAAAAGTTCTAAATCCCAAACTGAGTCTTTTTAAAAATTTTTTTTCGGGGGGGTGGGGTACAGGAGAGTGAACCCAGAGGTGCTTAACTACTGAGCTTTTTAAAAAGTACTCCAGTACTTTTTATTTTAAACAGAATCGCACTATGTTACTCATGGCCTCACTAAGTTGCTGAGGCTGCCTTTGAACTTGTGATCCTCCTGCCTCAGCCTCCTGAATCACTGGGATTATAAGCATGAGCCACCACTGCTGGCTTTTTCTTTTTAAATAAGAAAAAAAAAAAAAAAAAAAAAGTCAAGTCTGACTAAATAGAGGGCTTGGGGTAAGAAACAGAGATGAGAGAAATTTCCATTCTAGCACTAGTCTCTCCTGGGTCAGGTGTAGGCTGCTCATGAGGACCTATTGACATGGACTGTATTACAATTACAAGCAAACTTGCCTTCTGAGGATTCAGTTAGCTGCTACTAGTGCATTAGTTAGAACTCAGCCACTTATGACCTAACTTCTCCTTTCTAAAGTTATTAATTTTAACAACTAGTTTGCACATAGCCATTACGTACGATTTACAGTGTTGGGCTTTTATAAAGTGACTTGGACATTACTTCCATCCTGGAGTTTCAGCCAGGTATCATGGGTTCTTTTTCAGATGCCACTAGCTCTCTGTGAAGGAAACAACAGGTACAGAATAATTCTGTCTTCCCATATGATGTGTATTTTAGTCCAATTAAAAGATAATGGATGCTGCTTCAGTCTTACCAAAATGACCATGGTTCTATCTAGTTATCCATGGCTATTAATATGAGATAGAATATAGGCTACTAAAACTTGAGGCATACAGCCTGTCTGTACAATTTAATTGGTAGTATTTTAAAAATTATTTTAAAAAACTCAATACAGACCCCCGAGAGAAAAACAAAACAAAACAAAACAAAACCTGCAAATAGATCCAAACTTACAACTGGCTCCCTCAAAATCTTTCCAAATAAGTGTATTAATTAAAGGGCTACGGTTGAGGCTCATAGTAGAATGCTGGCCTATGATGCTCGAAGCTCAGCACTTGGAGAGAAGGGGTACTGCTAAGATGCCAAGAGAGAGAAGTAGTGAATCAATGTTAACATTTATACAGTTGAAAGTTCCTCCACTAATTTTCTGGATACATTATTCTTATCAATGAAGTTAGAAATCCCCCTTACAAACTCTTTAATTGGAAAATGTTGTGCTCTTGGGAGCTTTGGAGCAGGACTGAGCTCCTGCCAGTGCTCGGTTGTTACCTGAGGGGCAGAAGGTTCTCCTTTTTGAGAACCTGAGAGAGCATAAAGATCCTATCATTACCCTCAACCGCTTTTCTAAAGTAATTTGTTTGTCTTCAGTGGTATTCCACAGCACTCAACAAATTCATATTTTTATACTAAATAAACTCACTGATAAGTAATTTCTGATTTACAAACAATATAAGCTGCTCATCTCTCATTATAGAGCTTTCTCTTTATACTAATCTGATTTAGGAAAAAATAAGTAACCAAAGAAGAGCTTTAAAACAGGAGCAAAACAATCCACAAGAAACAAATGTTTTAAGGCTTTTCAAATTTCGTATCAGCTTATTAAAGTTCATTAATCTGCAGTATTAATATGTTCAATCTCTAATTTTAGGTCATTATTACAAACAAACAAAAACCTTAAAATGGAGCATAAGGCCAAACTCAAATTAGAGATGTCTGTGTGTTTGTGTATATGTGGGGATACTATTAGGGACTAAACCCAGAGGTGCTCTCCCACTCAGCCATACCATTTTTCCTGTTGTTGTTGAGACCATGTTACTAACTTGCAGAGGCTAATCTCAAACTTGTGATCCTCCTGTCTTAGCCTCCAGAGTCACTTGGATTACAGATGTGTGCTGGCATATCCAGCTCAAATCTTTAATCAGTAACACAACCCAAGTAGAGCTTTAGAAATTCAATTATCATCTGTGGAAATGACTTGTGTACTGTCATTAGCTCTATGAAATCTTGTGGCAAATTGGTTCCCAAGAGTCTTTTTTTTTTTTTTTTAAAACTATGTAATGAGGGTATTATGATCTAAAAGCCTAACTTCAAGCCCCATTCTACCCTGAGTATACCCACTAGGGTTAAATTTCATAAAGGATTTGCTGCCTTAACCAAGCAAGCAATGAAACACTGAAGGTTTGATTCAAGTCAATCATACAACATCATTTGTGGAAATGTTTTCTATCATTAATTAAAGAAATGCACTGAATAGTTAATTATCCTTGCGTCGTTTAAAAATTATTGGGCCAGGCACAGTGCTACATGCCTGTAATCCTAGCAACTTGGAAGGCTGTGAAACTTTTTTAAGAATGCAGTGAAACTTTATCATAGAGATCAAGCAAGCCTTAAGACACATCATGCTGTGTGATCAGCTGACAGTTCACCGTGTGATCAGCTGATAGTAGGTAGCATAGCATTCCATTTAGAACTCACACTCAGCTACAAAATCTAATCAATTTCTTTCCACCTTAAATGCCGTTAAAATTTTTCACTTAGGCTATGCCAAATCCTAAAACCTCTACAAACTACTTTAATGAAGTGGTGGAGCTGGAGAACAATGACTATATGTGCTGGTCTGCCCAGGATCATCTCAGTTAAGCTGCCATCCCAGTATAATTATTAATACTATTTTTTTTCATTCCTAGAAGTAT